GCGGCCATTTTGGTTCAACATGTAAGTTAGGTGAAGCGGCCATTTTGGTTCAACATGCAAGTTAGGTGTAGTAGCTTTTGAAAATCAAAAATCCAAGATGGCCGACAAAGCAAAAAATGAAAAATACTATAAATCGGTCAATTTTTGTGATATTGAGCTGAAACTTGGTGTGGTGATAGCTGAGAATGTTTCCTATCAAATGCTGTATCAAGTTTAAAAATCCAAGATGGCCACCAAAGCTACTTTCAAATTGCTTTAACTCAGCCATTTTTATACATAGAGAGCTGAAATTTGGTGAGGTTGTAGCTGAGAACATGCTCTATCATATACGGAAACAAAATCAAAAATCCAAGATGGCCACCTTAGCTAAAAGAGAAAAAAACACCATAACTTGGCCATTTTTGAGGTATTCAGCTGAAACTTGGCAAATTGGTAGCTTAGAATGATCCCTAATAGTCTCTGATGGAAAATCAAAAATCCAAATTAGACACCTTAGCTAAAAGAGAAAAAATACCATAACTCGGCCATTTTTTTTTTGCTATTCAGCTGAAATTTTGTATAATGGTAGCTGATATCAAACCCAAACACCTTTTACTATTAAATCAAGAAATTAAATTAGCACCAGCCTGGCAGCCCCCATCAAAGTTTCTCCAGGAACTTTCTAGTTATTATTATTGTGCAGCAATGTGGCGCAACTGGTAGAGCTGCTGCCTCTCAGCGAGTATGTTACCCTGGTTCAATTCCCTGTCTGGGTGCCTTTCTGGGTGGAGTTTGCATGTTCTCTCTGTGCATGCGTGGGTTTTCTCTAGCATGCATGTTAGGCTGATTGTTAACTCTAAATTGTCTCTAGGTGAGAGTAAGAGAGTGAATGGTTGTTTGTCTCGTTTGTCTCTATGTGGCCCTGTGATGGACTTGTGACCTGTCCAGGGTGTACCCCGCCCCTTGCACAGTGATTGCTGGACATGGGCACCAGCGACCCCCGTGACCCAAAATGGAAGAAGCGGGTAAAAGATAATGGATGGATTATAATTATTGTGGGTATTATTATTACTGTGGGTAACGATGGTGTGACCTGAAGGGGTGTGACTGGGAGGAACAGCCTCTCTGATCTGAACCCGAGTAGTGTTCTGTTGTTGGACTTCTGTTCTGGTCAAAGTTTGTCCATCACAAACATAAGGGTGTCCATCAGTGCATTTGGCACCAGGACACCCTAGGTGGTAGATCAATGATTGACTTTGTAGTCATGTCATCTGATGAGGCCTTGAAGGCCAAAGATAAGCACATTAAACAACAAATAGCAACGTGCCTAGATCAGACCACACTTCAGCAATTGATGGACTGTACAGATTAGGCACGCTTAGCACAGCATGTCAAGTCCAAAACTCGACAACAAAACAAATTTAACTTACTGATAACTCGTCAACAGCATCACAATTCCAATAACAACACATTCAGTGGAAGACAACACTTCGGTAGACAGTTACATGACAGGGAGACAGAAAAGTGGGTGAAGAATTTATGACAGACAGCTCACCCAGCCAGAGACTGAGATTCTTGTCAGGGGACTGAACTTTGCTGTTGCACCAAATAGAATTCCTCTGGTGGAGATGATCACAGCCACTGAGTCAGCCATCCGCAACAACAAAATTAAAGAGTGTCAGGCAGAACAACTCAGAATCAGAGTTTCAGCCTGCCTTAGCAATGCCAAACCACCACCTTCCAATATCAGTAGAAAGGAGAGGGATGCACTCACCACTCTTAGCAAGGACAACATCATCATCATTCTCCCAGCAGACAAAGGAAGGTGCACAGTGATTTTGAACCAGAAAGACTATCATGAGAAAGTTATGACACTCCTTAGTGATTTAACCACTTATGAGCCATTGAAAAGAGATCCAGGAAGTGGTTACAAGAAGAAGTTGATAGATTGCCTGAAAATTTTGGAGCAGGACAAGGCTATTGACCGTATTCTGTACCATAGACTGTACCCAGAGGAGGCCACACCTAGTCTGTATGGTTTACCTAAAATTCACAAACAAGGTGTACCTTTAAGACCAATTATCCTGATGCATGCTCAATAATCCAGGTAGAAAAATCTAAAAAAGTTAAATCTGGTCCTCTGGACATTCAAAAAAACAAAACAAAGCAAATCAACAAAATGTTTCTACATTTTTTGTTGATTTGCTTTGTTTTGTTTTTT